GGTAATCTCCTCTCACGAGGCATTGTATTACACAGACGTTATAATGTGTTTAGTTTCGAAGGGAAGAATATTCTTGCCTTCCAGCCTTCGACGCACCAGTTGGTAACATTACACCAGCCGATCTGTCATCTGTGTAATGACAACAGGATAAACGCTTATAATTTTAACACATACGATAGATACTGTATACTATATGACTATTAAAACAACATTGCTACATGGTTGTACTTGTTTTAACTATTAGTGCTAACTGCCAGGCAAACTGCAAACTTCAAGATTCAATGTTTTCGGAAAAACAAACACGCTGTTCTTAAGTGGTATCACTTGTGCTTATTTCCATCGCCCCACCGACTTTACGCTCGGTGGAGCGTCTTGTTAATAATGCGACATTGTGACGTAGTTATAGTATTCGTAGAAAGCCAATGATATAACAACACATCACCAGAGTATTGTTTTTCATTACGAGCAGCAACGAGACAAGGTCTTTACAATCTGTCTTCCCAACAACGACATCAAAAACATATCAAACGTTTTCCTCAGTTCGCTTCAAAGAGAAATGGCGAGGAGAGATTCCTTTGGTGGCTATGAAGAGGAGAGATTCAAAGACAAAGTAGACATTAAACTACAGTGCTCGATTTGTCTCAAGGTCTTAAAAGATCCAGTACAATGCCCGAATGAGCATTACTTCTGCGGCTCGTGTATTCGAAAGTGTTTGCGCGAAAACGCCAAAACTTGCCCTATGTGTCAACACCATCTGACGGAAGAAACATTGACCAAACCACCGAGAATTTTGACGGAATTATTGGACAGTCTTATGATTCGTTGTGATCACGAAAACCGTGGCTGCCCAGAGTTAGTCAAGCTTGAATTTCTTGATCGGCATGTCAACAGCTGTGGCTATTCACCAACGCGTTGTACAAACGCTGGTTGTGCAGAAGCAATGAACCGACACGAGAAAGAACGACACGAACGTGAACAGTGTGATTTTCGTAAGATTGTTTGCGACGAGTGTGGAGAACAAGTAATATGGAAGTCAAGTCGTGTACACCCGTGCTTCATGCGAAAAGAAATGGACGACTTAGTGAGCAGATTGAACGTTGTTCAAAATGATGTGAGGGGAATTCAGGATGATGTGAGGGAAGTCAAGGATGATGTGAGGGACGTCAAGGATGATGTAAAGCTGACCCAAGAAGAAATGGCATCCATTGCAAAAGAAGCGACCGAAAGATGTGATTTATTCACCCGCAAACAGAAGATTTTCGTTTGTGGAGGGTACGATGGTATGACTCGCTTTAATTCCGTAGAGTCATACAGCTGGCCAGAGAATTCCTGGACATTGGAACCAACAATGCAGGAGGCACGATCAGCTCCTTCGGCATTTGTCCATGGTCGTGAAATATATGTCAGTGGCGGATGGAATGGGACAAAGGCCACTGACAGTATTGAAAGTTTAAATGTTGACAAGGGACATTTAGAATGGACCAAATCTGCTGTCACGATGCCAATTAGCTGTCGTAGACACGAAATGGTTTGTCACGAGAACAGTGCGATTTTAACTGGTGGACTTAGTGACGGTGACAATGTTTCAGATGGGATTTATGAAATCAGTCTAGATCCGCCACATGACTCGAAACTGTTGACCCAGATGCCAGAGCCAAGATGTTTCCATGGTTGTGAGATCGTCGACAACCAGGTGATGGTAGTTGGAGGAAGGACATCAACATATTTCAAGGACACTAAAAACACTGTGTACGTATATGACCTGAACAACAATGAATGTAAAACTTTACCACCACTGCCTTTTCCTATTGCTAGTATGGCCACTGTTAGTTATAAAGGTAATGTAATTTTGATCGGAGGTGTTAATGAGAAATCTCAAACATTAAACAGTGTAGTAATGTATGATGTGAAAACACGTAAAATTAAAATGTTACCTTGCCTTAATCATAAAAGAGCAGGAAGTGCAGCAGTTATCACTGGCAATGTTATCATTGCTGTGGGGGGATATGACTATGAAGCTGAAACATTTCTCAATTCTGTTGAGTATTTAGATTTAAGTACCAATGTATGGAGAGAACTGTCGCCAATGACATCTAAACGAAATTGTCCATCTGCAGTTATGAAACCCATGTATTAAAATACATTAATGTAATTGTTGTAACAAAAATGTAATACTTCGATGAGTAACTTAATGCGCAACTTTTTAAAACCAAAACGTTTGAAGGTGACACAGTTTCCGGAAGCGTGTATTAGAACAATTCATATACCATGAAATATGTAGAATTATATATAATTATATAAGAATTTGTTCAATTCATGTATTAGAGTAAGTTGATATAGTAGAATAAAATTTGTTGCAGTCTCATTCAAGTTAACAGTTGTTACTGTTAACTCATGCCAACACTTTTCCGTTGAGGAGTAAAATCGTCTGGCGTTAGGTAGAGCAAAATTACAAAGTTTGGGGTGCAAATTTAAAGGGTTAAACCTCTCAGACTGATAATTTTAATGTGCTCTTTTCTACTTCCAAATAAAGGTTATACAAAAAAGTAAGAAAGCTCATAGTAAGAAAAACTGTAAAAGATGTTTTCCTCAAAGATTTTTAAACCTATAAGGCAATATCCCATCCGAAAACACGGCTCAAATATCAAAATGATAACCACCCGTCACCTAAAAACACGATTCAATAGTGGACGACTTTTAGTTTTGACCAGACATCGTACTACAGTAGTACAGTGCAGTGCCTTGGAGCATGCTTGAAACGAGTGTATGCGTAGACATATTATTTATGAATAAATACCAAGGCTTATGATTCCCAACAGACTAACAAATTAACAGACTAACAAACTCACGCAGAGATTGATTGTAAGAATAAGAAATAGTCCGTGAGTAAGAAATGGCTGCAGTTAAATTGTGGTTTTCGATAAGTAATTGACCTAAAGTATCGACCAACATTTTGAAAAATATTACAGTACGTTCGCACCCAAAGATGAACAGTCACAAATAAAAACATTGTGAAACTCGAATGCTTGTCAAGGGCATTTGACAGGTTTTGATCATGTCCGCCAAAAATGTTTAACTTTATAGCCTCATGCTGATTAACTGAGCTGATTGAAACTTGTTAAATGTTCACTTTAAACATGAAACTTCACGCGAGATAAACAGTGTTTCCATCTGCAACTGTTCATTCTTAGATGCAAACGACGGTAGAGTATAAAAGTTGAGACATACCTGCGCGAGAGCCTGGAGAGGAGTAATGAGATCCGAATGCTTGATCTGTATATCCGGGAGATCACCTTCTCTGTACTTCCGGTACATCACGACCCTGTTTTCCCGCGCTAGCTTCTGTTTCTCTATAGACTCCTAGAAACGAGAAATGACAAGTGTTCATACCACGGGTATCCACTCGCTAGCGATTATTCCAATCTTTGTAAAGATATCTGTAAAGCTGTGCAATTATAGATATGGACCCCACAATAAGTAGATTCATTAATAAACGGTATACTTTCATCGGGGAATAATACCAATAAACGCGCAGTCTTTGAAATTTTGAAAAAGACACTATCTACAATCTTGGACAAAACCCTTGAGACCATTCCAGCTAATATTACAAAGTTACTGAACATTGACAAAACAAACTTTGTCTCCCCCTCCCCC